TCATAAACAGTTTCTTCTTTGGCACTGTGATTTGTCTAGGGGCGGATTCTTTCTTGATGTTACGTTCGATAAACCTTGTAGGATAACCATTGTTAAGGAGATTTGATCGAATGTTATCCAGTTCACTATCGATTGTCTCTGCAGAGCAGATTTTACGAATTCTGGCGCATAAGGAATGAATAAGATTTCTCTTTCTCCCTAACGGTACCCAACTGTTGAAGTTTGCATTTTATCAAAAAAGTTTTTACACCATGGAGTTATACACATCTACCACACTGTGTCCCGATTCTGTTCCTGTTTTGTAAATTAATTTGTGTTTTATTGAAATATTTAGAGTGTGAACACCGATAAGTTTCTTTCTTTCTGTGGGAATGAGAGTTATGACGTATGTTACTGAGCAGGCCAGCTGTTCAGTTTATTGCTCTATAGTAATTTTTCTTTTTCTTTTCTATAACTACCTGAAAAACATTCACCAAGTACAACTTACAACGTTTGCATATTTTCACTCCTGCTGGCTGCAGGCAAAGGCAGATGATGAGTTCTAAAATAGGACGATACACTTTGTCTGAACTTTAATTCTGGTCACCAATTATCAAGTAAACAACCAACTTGTATCCAGAGGGATCGTCATACTATGAGGAACTTCTCCTGAAAGCGACAGGTCATGGTCAGCGAGTTTCACGTTATCGAGGGAAGTGGACACTGATCGAAGTCATTCCTTGGTGGTAGAGTTATATCATGGGTTCGACGAAAGTTAGAATCCCCGGGTGAATGAATCTCCAGACAACTAGCTGGATGATCGACGTGCTCGAACTTGTGAACTGGAGGTCCTGAGTCTGATACCTTGGGATATTATGAGTGCATTATACTGAAGTGTCATTGTGTTGCCCGGTTCTACACTGATTAGTTAAGTGATGGTTAAATCTATGCTAAAATTCACACTCATGCTTCTGCGATGCTGCTTATCACTATTATTATTATATTTTCACCTAGATTGCGCGTTATTTAAACAAATCAATAATGAAGAGAATAGAAAAAGTTGGATTCTATTTAAAATCTAATCTCCATAGTTATTTGATTATTAATTCTTCGTACTATCCACACATAATTGATGTATACATCACATCACCAAATCATTTTCCTGTAAGAGGAGTTATTGAATTAACCCCTGGATATATTCACAGTGTACAAATAGAAATGGTACGTCATCAACGTAACCAAGAAAAGCGACGGTGTCGTAGAGAAAAGTATTCAGCAATGATATACGACGCTGATCTGGTGACAAAACGTCGAATTTATGATACTGGTGGAGATTTATGCCATCGATTATTGTCCCAGTATTTATATCTACAAGAATGTCATTGTTATAGTCCATTTCTCCCGTATGGTTATTTCCCTGATTTACTCAATATAACTGATATTATTATTATTTCCTTTAATTCCTAGAGGAACATAGGGCTTCAGCCATGCGTCTCCATTGCGTTCGGTTCTCTGCTGTAGTTTTCACCTGGCTCCAAGTCTACCCACACGCTTTCAATTCCTCTTCACATGATCTCCTCCAGGTCACCCTTGGACGACCAACTCGTCGCTTCCCTTTCGGGTTCCACTCGAGGGCTTGTCTAGTGATGTCACTTGCTGGTTTCCTCAGAGTGTGTCCAATCCATCTCCATTTCTTCCTGCCTATTTGTTTCACGATCGGTTCCTGGTTGGTTCGCTCCCAGAGATCCCTGTTGCTGATCCTCTCCGGCCATTTGATCTTGAGTATTGAGCGAAGGCATTTGTTAATGAAGGTCTGTAGCTTGTTTGAGCTGCTCTTTGTGACACGCCAAGTCTCTGATCCGTATAGTAGTACTGACTTCACATTGGAGTTGAAAATACGGATCTTATTTTTGACGCTGAATGCTGTTGACCTCCACATAGACTTGAGAGAAATGAAAACTTGTCTTGCTTTTCCGATTCTGGCTTTGATATCCTCGTCAGTTCCTCCTGTAGTTGAGACGATGCTTCCCAGGTAGGTGAAAGAAGTTGTTTCCTTCAGGTTCCTCCCGTTTATGCTGATTGTTGTCGGTTGTTGCTGTTGATGTTGGCCAGGAATCTTCATTACCTCTGTTTTGTCTATGTTCACTTGAAGTCCTATCTTTGCTGCTTCTTCTGCCAATTTGTTGCTTTTCACTTGCATATCTTCCAGTTTGTGGGAAATCAGACATATATCATCGGCGAAATCCAAATCCTCGAAGGCTTTTGTGTCGGTCCATTTTATGCCTGTTCCCTCGTTGGTTGCCGTTGTCTGCCGCATTATCCAATCAACTGCAATCAGGAAGATCACTGGTGACAGTAGACAGCCTTGTCTCACTCCCGTCCTCACTTCGAAGGATTCCGTGAGCCTCCCGTTGTGGATTACTTGGCATGCAGCGTTGTCATACAGCTGTTGGATGAGATGTATAATTGTCGGCGGCACCCCGTAGTAGCGAAGTAGTTGCCAAATCACCTCTCGATCGACGCTGTCGAAGGCTTTCTCAAAATCGATGAAGTTGAGATAGAGAGGTGACTGCCATTCCAAACTTTGTTCAATGATAATCCGTAGGGTGGCGATTTGGTCAATGCATGACTTGTTCCTCCTGAATCCGGCCTGTTCCGGACGAAGTTTTTCATCTATGGCTTGTTTAATTCTCTCCAGGATGATGCGACATAGTATCTTGCTTGGAATGGACAGAAGCATAATTCCACGCCAGTTTTTACATTGACTCAAATCTCCTTTCTTTGGCAGTTTGAATAAGTATCCGTTCTTCCAATCCTCGGGTACTTTGCCCTCTTTCCACACCTTCTCTAGTAGTGGCGTCATCAAGTCCGCTGTTGTCTCTGGGTCTATTTTCAAAGCTTCTGCTGGGATTCCATCTGGTCCTGGCGCTTTCCCAGCTCTTAGCATCTTGATGGCATTCAGGACTTCGGATTTCGTCGGAGGGTCGATGTTTATTGGTAGTTCTGCTTCCGTTGTTGGTATTGTTGGACGCGTTGTAGGTGGCGGACGATTTAGAAGTCTTTTGAAGTGTTCAGCCCAGTGCTTCCTCTGTTCCACCTCTTTGGTGATTGACTTTCCATTGTCGTCCTTTATTGGCTTAATCTGTGTCGAACTTTTGCCCGAAAGGTGCCTAGTTGTTTGGTATAGTGCAGCGAGGTCTCCTTTGCCTGCAGCTTGTTCTGCTTCGTTTGCCATGGTTTCACAATATTTTCTTTTGTCTTCCCTGGCACTTTTCTTCACTCTTTTGTTCAGTGCATTGTAGCTTGCATTCAACTCCTGTTTCTGTTGCTCGTCGGTGCACTGGATAATCTTTTGCTTCGCCACCCTTCTCTCTTCTATTAGTTTCCAAGTGTCCGTAGAGAGCCACTGTTTGTCCTGTCTCTTTTTTCTGCCTAGGACTTCCATGCAGGTTTGACTCCACACCGTTTTCAATTTGTTCCAGTGCTTTTCGACGCTGACCTTTTCGTTGGTGTTGATTTGTGTCTCGGCTTTTTCCCTTATGTTTGCAATGAAGATGTCCTTTGTAGCCTGGTCCTTCAGCTTTTGAGTGTTGAACTTGGCTTGTGGTCTATCTGCAGCTCCTGTTTCCCTGAAAGCTTTTAATTTGATTTGGATTGTCCCTTGTGCGAGGTAGTGGTCTGAGCCAACGTCTGCTCCTCTTCTTGCTCTTGTGTCCAGTAGGCTGCGTCTCCACTTCCTCGATATTGTGATAAAGTCAATTTGGTTTTTGGTTCGCCCGTCTGGTGACACCCATGTAGCCTTGTGGATATCTCTGTGCTTGTAAACACTGCCACCAATCACTAGTTCGTTGAAGGCGCAGAAGTCGGCGAAGAGTTCTCCGTTTTCATTCATTTCTCCAAGAGCTTCTCTACCCATGATGAGTTCTCTTCCTGTATTGTCTGGTCCCAGTTTGGCGTTCATATCTCCCATTAGTATTTTAATGTCGCCAGCTGGAGTATTGTCTATTGCTGCCTGTAGTTGTCTGTAAAATTCTTCTTTCGTTTCGAGGTCTGCGTTGTTGGTGGGTGCATAACATTGGATTATTGACACTTTTCTTCCTTTGGAGTTGAATCTGGCGGTCATTATCCTGGACGAGATCGCTTCCCATTGCATCAGGGCTTTCGTTGCCGTTGGTGACATCATGATAGCCACGCCCTCGGTGTGCGTGTGGTTATCTTCTGGGTGACCGGAGTAGATCACTGACTCTCCCGTTGATAATTTGGTGAGTCCACTTCCATTCCATCTGCTTTCACATATTCCCAGCAATTGGATTCTGTATCTTTTCATCTCGCTGGCGATCTGGGCAGCTTTGCCAGTCTCGTACATAGTGCGGACATTCCATGTCCCCACACAGACTTTTTCTTTTGTCGCAAGGAGATTGCTCATGGTGAAGTTTCTGTAGCAGGTTTGTTTACAGGGTGGGGTTGCTGGCCTCACGCCTGAGTTTCGTCTTCGGGTACCTGAAATGGAAGAAAGGTTAGTGTTGCGTGACCGCAGAGCCCAGGGGACATCTGCTTGAGGCCGGTCACACGCGGCCTGGTGTGTCTCAGTAGTGTACTTATCACTTCTGCCCTGTGACACGGCAGCAGAAAGCGCGGTCGTTGTTAATCCGGGCCACGGCCGATCCGGCATGATATTTCTTGGATTTGTTGGGTTCATGGGTTTGGATTGATGAATGATGGCGACTAAGTCCAGCCCCCACTGATACCGTCGCCAATGTATCAGTAGGTTGTGAGGTTTGAAAAATTTCGTTGGCGTCCGCTGCTACTGTCAACGGAGCTACTCAAGGAGCGGTGTGACGACCCAAGTTATCTTCTACTGATACCGTTGCCACAGTCATACCAGTAGAAGTCCGGTTAAGCTGCCGGTCAGCCTCGGGATCAAGCAAAAAAAAAAACTGATAGTAATAACCATAATAATAATAATAATACGAACACCAATGGATCAATATCACAGCCAGTCTTGTGTTTAAACATGTCAGTATTCAGTGACTATCAATTGGTGGAAAATCTGAATTGTATGCACCGTGTATTCAAAAAGTACAGAAATGCCAGTTTATATTTGAGCTTAGAGAAAGCTCAACATTGTGAATTCTATGCACAATCCACAAATTGTCATGAAGTGAGGTACAATCATTTCGGTATGGTGAATAACCCAATGGCAGATTTATGGGGTAGTGCACAGCGTAATGAAGCCAGAACTGACTTTCTGATCAACATGTTGCATCTCCTGGAAAATCAAATTATGAGTGACGACAAAAATATTTACGGTGATGGTCATATTTCAAGTGATGAATACGTGGAAGAGGCATCACGAAATGAGTCAGCACAACAAGAAATACTCCGTCAATTACGTAATAATTTTGCATTATTAACGGTAGAACGTGTCAGCCCTCGTGGCAGACTAGTTCTCGAAGAAAATGAATACCCACTGTCTCGACTATTATCTGATATTGGTGGGAATATGGGATTGTGGATTGGTATATCTGTGATTGGTGTATTCGAATCTTTCGAACTCATCGGTTTCATCATATATGCATCAATTAATTATTTTAAAAGCTTGATCATTAATTCATTCAAATCATGATGTTTTTAAAATTCTGTCGAATTCTTTCTTCGTTTCTCTGCAAAAACGTGTGAGACGCCAGTCATATTCGATTTGTTCCACATTTTCATCACAGTCATATCGTTTTTTTGAAAGTGACCAGTGAACATTGAACAGTTTCGTTCATCCTGATGTTTTCAGTGCTCAGTATGAAAACATTGACATTCACATCAATCACACTTAATTGATAGTGGTCATGTAGTCGAGAAAACGAGAGCCTTCAAAGTCATTCATCGTATCCCACCGAATCTTTCCAATAGACTTCGTATTCGTTTACTGCACACAGCTGAAGCGATAGGCATTCGAACTATTAAACCTAAACTATGCATTCAAAAGAAGTTTGTACACAGCCATTATCCCTCCCTTGCTTGACCTATTAAGACATAACCAACTAATGACTTCTACACCACGCTTTGTTTATATTTTCAACCCCTTTCTTATCATCCCTTAATCTTATCACATCTTCATTATAAACGTGTTTCATTTCCCTCCCTTACAATCTAACATTAATTAATCGGTTCATTTGTTTTTACTTGCCTTTATCGACTACTTCCACCTGAACAGTTGTTTGTTTAATCATGCTGTTTTTCATCAGTATTCGTGTTATCACAGATTGCCTCACTTTTTCATCCTTATTGTTGATAAGACCATTTTTATTATTACTATTATTATTATTATTATTATTATTATTATTATCATTGCCACTATTATGACTAATTGCACAATTTATATTCACCACTGTATTATCCTATAGACAAAACACCGTGATTGGTTTATATTTGAATTTTTATTTGTAAACTTATGTGGGTATATTAGAGTTAAGCCTTATGAGATCTAATTGAAACCACAATATTGTTCGCTTAAATGTGTTGTTCTAAATTCAAAGGTGTAATTTATGTTTATTATAGGTGACAAGGGGGAATCGATTACACGTATATGTATGCATGCAGACATGCTTTTGTCCATGTTTACAAATGTACACAAGAAGTACAGATAGATTTCATGTATACACTTAGACTTTAATTCACATTCACGGAGTAACAGTTGTTCCTATACACTCTGAGTAAACTGATAGACATTAATGAGCTGACAACCATTGACATTTCAGACTTCAGCGTGACTGGGTAATACAAAAGTGCTCCGAAGGTCCACCAAAACAGCAAAATTGAAGTTATTTTTAGTTTGAAGGCTACTTAATGTTATTAAATGAAGTGAAAATTAGGCAAGAAACTGAAAGGATATTCAAGAGAAAGCGTTAAAATAATACCGTGACAATGTTTGTAGTGAACATAAGTCACCCTATCATGGTGAGTATCAACATGATCTGCACCATCTACATCTCAGTTACGTTTGATGTGTCAATTCGCTCAAGATCCAAAATATACAAGCGAAAGACTACTAGTTAGTTGAAGGAGGAGTCAAGATGGGACTTAATGTAAACATAAGGAAGATATACAGGTGTGATAAAGACACTGGACCGAGAATAAAACCAATCACCATCTCTTAGAAACACCTGCAGTCATTTCTCAGTTTAATATACCCGAAATAAGTGGCATCGTTTATACAACTAGCGGTACTTAGGATTAGGATGTCAAAGTCAGCCAGGTTTTTGGATGAAAAAAGCACTAAGAGTGTTCATTACACTGAGATCACTGTTTGAAGACTTACAGTATTCAGTACAAGCAGCGAGACCCGAACTTTCAACAATACTGACAAGTCGGTCCCCCCTACTACCATATGGTATAGAGAGACTTTGCGCATGAGTTGACAAAGGCATTTCTAAAAATTTGCAGAAGACTTTCATCAACAACTAACTGCCGTGGTCTGGATGCATACTGTAGATCAGATAGCCACCCAGAAGGGATAAGCAATAAAGAATTCTCGCTTGAAGTGAACCGGCAAATAAATAGACAGAAGCAAATGAAAGTGGATGAATTGTGTTTAGGAGATATTCAGGTGACATCAGACCAGCCAGTCATCCAACTGAACCCGAGTGAGAGGCGACAAATTTGGCATCCGAGAGTGGCATGGAGTGGATCGTGTGAATTAGACATGAAAGCTCGCGTACAGTTGCAAGTCCAGTTAAAATGATAGGAGAGATTTTCTGTTTATTCTACACGCTTCACTTTCAAATGCCAGAGGGAATAATGACAACAGTAATACCATAAGACTGAGTATGTTGTATCTCTTCTGAATGACAAAAATGAATGATATAAGGCATTTTGATTCGCTCATTATACTTAATAAGTTTTTCCTACTCTTCTTACAATTACCCTCCACCTCTTAACACCTTACTTGTCACATTCTCTAGCAGACAGTTAATCCAGTCTAACGTTAAAGATAGGATACTGCTTATGACCAACTCAATGTGTATTTATCAGTTTAACTGCTTGTTTGGAGCAAAGTATAACGGCTATACACAATGTCAAGTCCACAAACGTATTCTGAAACATTGTTGGCTTGGTTGGCCAGAGAGAAAAATAAGAATAGGAGCAGCTTCATCCTCGAACACCAAGTCAACTCTGGACATCGAACACCCCTGCATGAATGCTTCACAGTGGTGCTACACAGAGTCCCTCAATATCGCAGAAAGGGATTTTGCATACTCCATCTGTACATAGCTGAATCATTGGCTATTCTGGGATCTGAAACCGGACCTCTTCATTCGAAAGCACCACATACATCCACTCGCCCTACCGTGGACAGAGTAACGTTTCTACTATAATTTTGCTTCTTTTTTATTAAGTTTAATATTACTATTGCTATTATTATTATTTTAATTATTATTAACGTCCAAATTATGTCATCACTGCGTAACTGCTTATTAATAACATTCCTTTTTCATACACATTTTATATAAAAAGACGCTTTATCGTCTTTCCACTAGTTCCTGCCCATTTTACACAACCATATTGACTCGTCATTTTCCCAAACTGATTGCATCATGCCAATTTCTGCCTCTTTTCTAACTTCCATTTAGTCACCCCATGTAAGGTACACCTAACATTAATTTATACGTTTTTCGAAGACAAATCCTACCAGTATCTGATTGGTTCTTTATTTTCTTTGTTAAATATAACTGCAATTGTACAGCTTATGAAAATGAATCGTCGAAAAAAAATTTTCTTCGCTACCAACGTCTTCTGTTTTTGACTCAGTATGGGAATATTTCGTCCAAATGGGATACTACTCAAATCAACCAATAGCACTCGTCTACCGGCCAGATATTAGTGATTTGAAGAACAACGGACAGCGGTTGTGATCGTTCGCATTCTGGCTGACCTGGCTGGCATCAAAATATTCATATGAATTAATCAGTCATATATAGCTCAGTAGTAATACCACTGAATGAGATATGTGGTGAAGGGAGTTCAAGTCCCATAAGGACGGGGCGGGGTGAGTTTCTTCAAGGTTTGATAATACGTCATGACATCTGATGAGTACCGATAAGTAGAAAACCAAGATCCACGACATCTTATTCAATGTCGGACATCTTACCTGAATTATGAAGAAAGATGGGAAATAGTAATTAAAGGCATTTATTACGATGAATAAATTAATGCTTCTTTAGAAATAAATATGCCAATAAAAGCTTGAGGGAACAGGAATGTAATGAACGGATTTCAATAAAAAAGATTAGGCTATCGATTCCAGTGGTTTATGGGTTGTTGCAGTAGTTGCTTCGGTGCAGTAGTTTTGTTAGGTCGTTGAATCCCATCCAACAACAGATCAAGTATTCAAAGTTCTTTGATTCTCGGCACTTCTCTAGCCCCATAGTCGCCCAGTCCACTTCAGAGAGCTGCTGATAATTCCTAAAAACACTGAACTTCTTTGCCGACTGACACAGGACAATTCATTGTTTATCACATTTATGAATAGATTCTCGTAAAACTCTTGCTGCGTCTTCTACCTATTGATTAAAGGCTGACGCTGTCCAACTTTATGGAACTTATAATAATAAATGATCTCAGGAAAACTTTCAGATCATTTAGTACTTTCCATCTCTAAGAACCTTTTCATTTGCGATCTTCACTGGGTTAATCCAAGGAGATTGTTCATTCCGTCCTATCTATCTCGTTGTTTCAATGTCACTGTTAAAGTTACAATTCCCAATCTGTCTAGACAAATACAAAGTTCTCACTAAAACTGAAAGCTAACCAAAACATTAAAAATTTATCGTATACTTGTATCACCGCCATCAGGAGGATATGGCACGTATACTACAACAGTGAAAACATATGCAAAATTGCAAAATGTTTATCCATACTATTTATATTACTATAAGCAGATATCAGTAGAAAAGTGTTTGCAACAAAAAAGGTAGTTCCGAGAAGAAATAGCTGCAACGGAATACTAAAAAGCCAGTTGATACATTGTAAATAAAGATAAAAAGATTGCCTGCTAATCACCCAGACGTGAAGAACTAGAATAAAGAAGAGTGGAAATAACCCAATCATTCGTGATGCTTCTACACCAAAAGCTGACTACTGTGAATGGTTAGTGGAAAATGAACAATTAATCAAGTTGACTTCAACTCGTTATTTTTTATTTCAAAGAGAAAATCAGAGAGATCCCATGTTGGAGGAATATCGTGCAACAAGACGACTGATGTATAAATTAAATTTTCAACAGGCACAAGATTCAGGATAATTGCAATAAAAGCGCACGGTCGTTTCCATATTGTATCTGTTCTTCTATGGTAAAATGCATACCATCCACGCTACACGTGATCCGAGTTCGATGTCTAGACGATGCATTGCGCCTAACCTTGAGTAGTTTTCTATTTGACAGTTAATCCAGAAAATACGAACGTTTGAGGAGTGAGTTTATGGAGTAGCACTACCCTGTAAGAGAACAACACCACCACTAATGAAACTTTGAAACCTTCTTGAATAACATATATTCTACAAAGAAATCAAGGAATGGGAGAAAATCTAGTTTTTGAAAGAATATTTCTTAAGCATTATGGAAGTGAAAGAAGG